GGCGGAGAATAATATCTCGCTCGAGGGCATCAAAGGCACCGGGGGCGGTGTAAACCGCATCACCGCGAAGGATGTGGAGGCCGCGTTGAGCATGAAGGGGGCCGCCCCTGCCAAGGTCTCTGCGGTTCCGGCCAAAGCCGGCAAACCCGCAAGGGCGGAGGCTCCGGCGAACGTGCATTATACCGATATCCCCGTTTCCAACATGCGCGCCGTCATCGCGAAGCGGCTGCACGAGTCGAAGAACCTGGAGATCCCGCACTACTACCTCCACGACACCTGCTGTGTGGATAACATGATGGCGCTAATTAAGCAGCTTAACGCCAAGGGCAATGGGGAGTACAAGATCACCGTGAACGACTACATTATTAAGGCGGTTGCCAGGGCCAATATGCTGACGCCTGAGGTCAACGCCTCCTGGCAGGGGAGCGTGATTCGTCAGTACCACACCGTGGACGTCTCGGTCGCAGTGGCCACCCCATCTGGTCTTATCACCCCGATCATATTTAATGCGCACGCCAAGGGTCTCGTGCAGATCTCGAAGGATATGAAGATTTTGGCGAAGAAGGCGCGCGATAATGCCCTGCAGCCGAATGAATTCCAGGGCGGGACTTGCTCCGTTTCCAACCTCGGCGCTACCGGCATTCCAGGCTTCTCCGCGATTGTGAACCCGCCGCAGGCGATGATTTTGGCTATCGGTTCCGCCAAACCGCGGCCGAAGATTGTGAAAAACGAGGAATCCGGTGCGTTTGAGATGATGGGAACTGTCGAAATGGCGGTTGAATTTACTGCTTCCTTTGATCACCGTGTAGTGGATGGTGCAATGGGCGCGAAATGGTTCCAGGGATTCCACGACGCGATCGAAAACCCGCTCTCTCTCCTCCTTTAATTAATATAAAATCAATCACAATGATACATATTTATATACACATATATATTGATCTAGCAAAGTTGTTAAAGTGATAAAAAAAAAAAGTAGTATATGAATTAAAAAAAAATATCAATAGACGAATATGAATAGGGTTTGGTTATTTACGCTTGAGGTTAATGCATAATTTTAATTTTAAAAATCATTTTTAACACACACGAGAATATACAAATGGATAAATACTTCTGATAACAGTTCTAGATATCGTTCTCAGAACTTTTTCTGTATCGCACGTAAGCATTTCCCCTCATTTGTTATAAATTTATTATTGTTGCGTAAAACGAAGAAATATGTCTCGTGAATAGGAATAATTATGAGCTATTATACCATTCCCTTTCCTTTCATTTTTGTGTTCGTTGTGCAGAAAGTGTAAAGATATTATCTTGACTGAATTGTGTCTTATGAAGGAAAAGGTTGATTCGCTTTAAAAAAAACCATTTGCTTCACAAAGCAAAGTATGATGTGCACATTTCTATGAACATATATATATATATATATATATATATGTATATATATATATGCATTTGACTAATCTGTGTTTTTTCCTTTTTGAAAGGAGTTGATCAACAATATAGGATTATGGTAGCATTCAGGTGTGATTTATGGGTAGTTTTCTTTTCAAAGAAAAATGTTGAGATCAATTAACAATGACTACTTATTTTTATCTATCTCAGATTTTATTATTATACGCCTTTCGATAAAATATTTCGTCTTTTCCTTTCAAAAGGAAAATATTGACTTGAAATGTGTAGTTCAGAAGTTAAATGAGGTAGTATGGAAAATGAATAATAATGATAATAAAGGGTTCTAATGCGATAATTAGGGAAGAAATAGATCTTTTGAGTTGACATAAAGTCATTCAAAAGATTATTGATGCGGCCTTAATTTTAATTATTATTATTAAATCGAAAAAAAGGATTGCTTTAGAGAGAGGTATCGAAGTTCTTTTTTTGTAAAAAAGATATACTGTAAGTTCGAATACCGAAACGGATATAAGAATTTGCTTAAATGTGTATACATGTTTAAGCAAAAAAAACAACGCCGAGGCAATTACCTCAATCCTAGATACGGAGTTCTGCAGATAATCGCTTTATTATGTATTCGCCCTTATCCAGCCTCTTTAAATAACTATATCCTTTTTTTATGACAATCTGAACAGAGAGTCCCAGGGCTTGTTTTAACCTTGCTAAATGACTCCTGTTCCTTATTATGACTATTTATTTATTCCCCTCCCTCTCACTCCCCAACTCTCCTTTAGTCCCATTTTCCCACCCCACTCGGGCTCACATTCCCCCACACGTGGGATGGGCCGTTTAGGGGGTGCCAAAGACAACCTCATGAAGGACCCCCTTATAAAGGACTCTTCAATGGAGAACGACCTCGACTTTCCACCGACGCGCTACGAACGGGCGCACGTTCATGACGTCTACGAGGCCATCGCCGCACACTTTTCCTCCACCCGCTATCGCGCGTGGCCGAGGGTGGGGGCCTTTTTGGAGGCCCTCCCGCCCTTTGCGATGATCGCCGATGTGGGATGCGGAAATGGGAAGTACTTCGCTTCGGCCCAGCGCATGGCGGGGCCGCCGCGGTCCTCGCACGTCGGCCCTAATCCACAGTGTAGTAATCGTACTAATCGCCGGAATGCTCCTAATAGTCCTGATGGGAATCGAACCAGTCCGAATGGCAAGGTGGCATCCCTCACCACGCGGCGGTATGTGGTTGGGGTGGATTACAGCGGCGCGTTGCTACGCCAAGCGCAGCGCGAGGCGGCCGATCCGAATGCAAGCGTTTCCACCCCTTCTTTTTCTTCCTTTTCCTCGTCCGAGTCAGGGCGGCAGCCTCGGACGGATACGCTTCGTTGTGATGCCCGTCAATGTCCTTTCCGTCGGGGGCTATTCGACGCGGTGATTAGCATCGCGGTGATCCACCACTACGCAACGCCGCAGCGGCGAAGGGAAGCGGTGGGGGAGCTGCTCCGTCTCGCGCGGGCGGAGGGCGGATTGGTGTTAATTTACGTCTGGGCAAGAGAGGACGATCCTCCTAATGATAGAAATGATAAAAATAGAAGCGGCGGGAAGAGGCGAAGGAGCGCTGCGCAGCGGGTGGATAGCTGTACAGGGGATGCGCTCGTGCCATGGGAGATGAACACACGGTTTCGCTCGGGCAACGACGACGAACAGCAGATATTTCACCGATTTTATCATTTCTTTTCGGAGGGGGAGTTGCAGGAGCTCTGTAGGGAGGCTGCCAAAGAAGCGGGGGTAACGGTGCACGTACGTGAAGCCTACTATGATAAAGAAAACTGGTGTATTCTGCTAGAAAAATCCTAATAATGATCCAGAAAGTACGTAATATTTACCCAAACCGAATAATTTTCGATGTGTACACCCGTAGATGTCGATACTTTCTCTGCGTTCCGTGTTCCAAATCTTTCCATTTACCTCCTCCTGCCTTAACATGGCATCCCATTTTGGGTTCTTCCTTGAACACGTTTTAGCGATGAATAACTCATCAAAGTACTTTGTCGTGTCGCCGTCGTGGGTGGCTGCAACGGCAGAAGCGATTGGATCTCGCAACGGTGTGAAGCTCAAGGACAGCCTCACGGCGGCCGAACAGGGTCAGGCGGTGACGATCCAAAACGACTCCCCCGCAACCCTGAGCGGGCTCGTGGACAGTTTATACGACACCCTCACCGGCGCCACGCGTGAGTATTGGCAGCACCACCCCTTGCTGGCCGCGCCGGAGTGGCCGCAAAGCGATCTGGCCGATCGGCAAGAAAAAGAGCGGGTGAACGCGACGGAAACGGCTTTACGAGTGGCCATCACCGGTGCCCTCGCGTGTTATCAACGCGCGCAGCAAAAGTGCATTTCCCTTCAGGAGCTCGGCGGCAACGTGGCGGAGGAGGAGGGTCCCACCGATTGCCTTGAGCGGAGCATCCACAATACTCTGCTGAAAGGCCTTCTTTTCGCCTTTGAGGCCTTTAAAGAACTGCATGCGATGCGGCGGGAGCACTACGTGGCTCGTGTGGGGCATCGCACGACGGGGACGATCGGGTGGGATACGTTGGTGCTTCTGCATTTTGTCCACCACATCCCGCAAATCGCGCGGTGTGCGAGCGGGGCTGTGATTGACGACGCCACCGGCCAAATCGTGCGAAGCTGGCGGCGGTTGTTGGTGGATTTACAAGGGGTCGACGCGGACGAGGCGCCGGAGCACTCCCGCCGTCGTGGGGCCTTGGCGTTGGTGAACGGACTCCTTCAGATATTATTTCAGCGCTATAATACCCACCAGTGCGCCGTACTGCTGCGCTCGGTCGACCACGCCGAGGTGAGCGCGCGCACGGCGAAGGATTCGATGCGGTCGATTCTCCAGCCCTCGCAGCACATGACCTCTGAGGTCGTCGCGTATCATTATTATCACGGCCGAATGCGTATCTACGAGCGTTGTCTTGACGAGGCCCATGAGGATCTCCGGCGGGCCTACACGCTGCTGCCCCCCCCCGGCAGCGGTACCGAACCGCAGCGGCGGAATAAACAACGCGTGCGATTTTTTCTCGCGGTGGCGGGCCTCGCAAGTGGGCGGAAGATTCCAGCGGAAATCCTGCGCGCGGACGGGCTTTTGCCATGGTTGTTCGGCGCGTTGGAGTCCGCCATCACGCGGGGGGATTCGGTGGCCTTCGGGAAGGCGTTGGAGCGGCATGGGGCCGTCTGGCGTCGTCGAGGGGTGTATCTTATTTTACAGCGGGCTAAGCCGTTGTGTTATGCAATGCTGGTGGTGCGCGTACACGGCGCACTCAGCGAGCTGCCCAACACAGACAGCACTCGCATCACACTACGAAGCCTCGTCGCGGCCTACCACGCCGTCGTGGGAGATGGAAAAGCCCAAACGCGACGAGAGAACAGCGATGCGGGCAGAAAACACGTTCGAAAAGCTAAATTAGCAAATAAACGTGTACGTCAAGATCAGGACAGCTCTGATGACGACGACGACGACGACGAGACTGTGGAGGCTATGGATGATGATCGCATGATGCTTTGGGTAGCAAAGGTTATCAGTCTTGGATACGTCCGGGGCTATCTCTCGCATGAACATAAAACTTTGGTGGTGGCGCGAAATAATGCATTTCCCTTCCTTTCCAAGCAATGAAGATTTTTTAGACCCGTATACTAATATTACCATTTATTTTAGACATATTGAACTGCGTTCCTACGTATTTACATTGCCTAAGTTTCTATGCATTGGACGTAGAAAAATCAGAAAAGTAAGAAATGGTGGATTATGGCCAAATAAGGCCAAAGTCGTCTGGGGATCTGAAAATAAAAACCCAAGGCAGGACTATAGGAAAGAAAAAAGAAGGAAGGGGTAATGGCGAAGAGACTCCTAAAAAATAGATACAAATTTTAAGAATAATGTGTTTGGTCAAAATGTTTATATGAAACAGTAAATTGAGAAGAAGAAATTCCCCTTTTTCCTTCATTATTTATAGGGAAGTCTGCTTCGTTTTAGTCGTACTTTTGTGTCTACGGGGAAAAGCTTATCGTGTGTGATATCAGCTGTGTGAGAGGGGACCCCAGGTGAAGCCTAGGAATATTATTTGACTAGAAACGAGCACAGTTATTCTGGCTTGCAACCATGCGTGAGGTGCACAGTCTATCCGTCTATCATATCTTTTTATGATGACAATTTATAACTGTATTTCTAGATCTTGTTTGGGGAAAATGATGTTCTAGTGGGACTTCTGTTACGATTCAGGGAGATGCGGTTGCCAGCGCGGATAGCTTGCGCCTTCTTTTTTAGTGTGTACGCACGAGGCTTTTGAGCGGCTTATTGATGTGTAGAGAAGGAATGGGTAGGGTCGCATGACAGCAGTGATGAAACTTATTCGACCAATAATCGGAGGCCTTCTTCACACTAGTGAGGAACGCATGAAGTCCTGAAACTGCAATTCATCTAAAGAGCTGAGGCTGCGTGCGTCCTACCCTGACTTCGCAACTATGTGTGTGTGGCAACAGAGGAGGAGGGGGTGTAGACCAGTAGATCCGTTATGATGATCAACGAGAACAAGCATATATCCGAGCATACAATCGATGAGAGTATACTTTCACAAGTCCTTGAAATCTGAACGGTGAGGGGGAGACGCTGTGACGGGACCAGCCCGTAGTCTCTTCCGAGTGTGTTTTTCCTTCTTCCTCTTTGCTATGTTTGTGTTTGATGGGTTGCTATGTGTATGTGAGGGCGAGGTAGGATGCGTCTTTGGGGAATGAGAGCGATGGTCATCATGATGCATAGACAATACACATCTTCCGGGTACTGGGTAGCCGCGCCTGTACGAGTACACCGCGGTTCCCTGGATCCGTCCGAAACCACCCGTTGGTAATGCGTGAATGCTGTTAAGCGTCATCCGCTGAGGTGCCATAACGTTCCTTTCTGCATCAAACTCACGCCTTCCTCCTCTTCCTCCTCTCTATTGAACACCCAACATTTTCCAGTACGGGTTCCATTACGCTCCCTTCATGGTGCGAGGGGTGTGTGTTGTTGCCACCAGATTGTGTGCGGTGCAGCCCTTCTCGCGTGGAAGATTGCTTTGCCTCTCTGAGTAACCGTCTTTATCACCACTACCTATTTTCATTCATCGGCTTATTTCTGCACAGGATCTATTCTGGCAACAAACTCCATTTGTTTCCCTTGTTCAATTGAGCCTTTCAGGGCCTAAAATTATTCTCGAATGCCGTTGACATGATATATATTGCAAGTATATAATACTTTTATTATCTATTTATCAGGCTTTTCTTATTTAACATTTACGCGTGCCACCTGCTTTATAATTTTTCTTTTTTTGTGAAGTCTTTATTTCTTTTGTCTAAATATATATATTTTAATTTTGCTATTATTCTTTTTATATCTTTTTAAAAATCTTTTCTTTTTATTTTTATAAGTATCAAA